GAAGACAGACATGGTAGTGTGTACTTGTTATTCTAGCACTTGACAGGTAAAAGTAGGAAAGCCAGGAGTTCCCAGTCAGCTTTGGCTAGTGAGTTCCAGACTAGCCTAGACTACATGAAACCCTGCAGGTCTGATGCCACCCCCAACAAATTAAGGCTTCTCAAGAGTATTCCTAGACAATGACTTTTGTTTCCATTTTACTAGACTGGGCACCTTTAATGCTGATTTTCTTGTTTTCAATGTCATCTAGGAAACATGAATCTTGCTAATTATTCCCCTTATCTGATACACTGGCTTTGTTCCTAATCCTAGATCTACAATTTTCAAACTTTCAGAGAAGAGTCTAAACTAGAGAGAAGCAGAGGAAAGAAAAGCCCTTTTCACTTATAGCTTTATCCTTCCAAAGCTGTGTGGTTAACAAACCCGCAGAAGAGAGGGCCCTAGACCACACCTGCTATTTGCTACTATCAGGGATTACTCTAAAATTCTTTATCAAGGATTTTCAGCAGAAGGCTCCACTTTGTCTTGTTCATATCTTTGTCCTTAAACAAATGCAGTGTGTGTAGGTCTCCATGAGGTTGTGAACTTAAAACTAGGACCCTCTGAATACGGTTAGCTGTGTTTTGTATTACGTGTATATGCTCTGTGTGCATTACTTATATCAGAGTATTAATGAGGTGAGAAATTATCAATTCTCTCCAAGAATAGACAAATATTATCACATAGCTAGTAATAAATTAGATCTATTTTTCTGATATAGGCACATGAACAGTTCTCAAGGCACTTAAAATTAAGAAGTTTAAGGTCTAAGGCAGCTTACCTGTCACTCAAATTTAAGAGGATAGTCAAGCTAGAGAAAACTTCAAATAATCTATTTTACTCAGGATTATCAATATCTTTCTAAAAGACTCAAAGGTTAGTCCAAAATTTGTATTGTCATATACAACTATAGATAATTATAAATTTGGATTAAAAAAGATTTTTTTCTTTAAACAGACTCTTATAAGAAAACTACAGAACAGGTGATAAAATGTTCTCCTTAATTGGAAAATCCTTTCTGATGAAGGGGCTGCATTACTTAAGTGTCCTGACTATGAAACAGACATCAAATGGCATGATAGCAAAGACAGGCAGACTAAAGCTGATGTTTGCTCATAGCCAGTCTTTTACTAGTAAGGAGAAAGCTATTATAGCAGTAAGTGCTCAAAATTAAGAAGAATTAGAGAGCTGCAAATAAGCAAATAAAATCAGCTTCTATAGCTGTGTGCCACCAGGCTCAGCTAACTTCTGTTTTTACTGCTATGCACACGCAGAAAAATAGATTTAGGCCCAGATCTCAGATCTTTCATAAAAATTAACTCAAATGGAGCTGGCAAAAATCAATCAGCAGGTAAAAGTAACTGCCATACAAGCCTGACAACCTGAACCTAGATCTCTGGAACTCACATAAAAAGCATGATACAGTAGCATCTCATCCCAGTGTTCCTACAGTAAGATGTGAGGTAAAGATGAAATTGCCCAGAAGCCCATGGACCAGCTAGTATGGAGCACTCAGTAAAGTAGCAGACACAAGAAGAGAGATCCTGCCTTAAAAGAAAGTGGATGGAGAGAACCTATTCCTCAGATGTCTTCTGAGCTCCACACACATGCTATGGCAAGTGCATACCTGCATTAAAAGAAAGTAAAAAGAAACTGCCAAGAGAATAAAAAGCCATAGTTTTGGAGACAATACACACACAAAAAACTTACCTAATAAAAAACTGTTACCTAAAATACACAAGTAACTCTTAAAGGTCAATAATAGGAAAATTAACAGCCTGACAAAAATGGTCCAAAGACTTGACATACTTCTCACTGAAGAACACATAACAAATAAGCAGAAATATGCTGTATATCACATGTAATCAGGATAATGCAAACTGAAACATCAATGAGATACTGCCATGAACCTACGAGAGAGGACAAAACCCAGAAGACTGGTAGATAGCGTGAACTATTGGCAAAGCTGTAAAGCAATAGGCACAGTCAGTTACTATTGGTAGAAATACAAAATAGTACAAAATATATGGCCCACTCTTCCTTCCTTCTCTCCCTCCTTTCTGTGTATGAATGTTTTGTCTGCACTACCTAAGTGCACGTGTCATACAATGCCTGCAGAGGCTAGAAGAAGGCATCCATCCCCTAGAACTGTAGATACAGATGGCTGTGAGCCTCCATGTTAGTGCTGGGAACCAAACCCAGGTAATCTGTGAGAGCAGCCAGTGCTCTTAATCACTGAGGAATCTCTCCAGCTCCACATGGCAGTTTCTTACAAAAGTAAACATATTCTTCACATTATCCAGGCAACTACACTTCTTGATATTTACCCAAATGCACTGAAAATATCCACATAAAAAAAACTGCACATAAAAAAGTTATAGTAGCCGGCGTGGTGGCACCTGCCTTTAATCCCAACACTCCGGAGGCAGAGGCAGGTAGATCTCTGTGAGTTCAAGGCCAGCCTGGTCTACATAGTGAGTTCCAGGAAGCTGGGGCTACAGGGAGACCCTGTCTCAAAGAGACTGAAAAAAAAAAAACGTTATAGCAGTTTTAGTCATAATTGCCAAAATGGAGGAAACAAGTATGTCCTTTAGTAGGTCAATGAATATGTCCAAATAATAGCATACTATTTAGTTCTAAAAAGAAATGTACCATCAAACCATGACAACACATGGAGGAATCTCCAATACAGGCTACTAAATGAAAGATGGAAATCCGGGGCTAGCAAGGAACCGGAAGACCTGAATTTAATCCCCAGGACCCACATGGTGGAAGAAGAATCAAACTTTTCAAATTGTGCTCTGACCACTATATACAAGCCATGGAATTGTGTACAAACACACAAATAACAAGTAAACATAATTTTAAGTATTTATTATTTTCATTTTATGTGTATGCATGTATTGCCCACATGTAGGTAAGTGTACCCGTGTCATGCAATGCCCACGGAGGAGGCTGTCGGATACCCTGGAACTGGAGTTACGGACAGTTGTTAGCTGCCATGTGGGTGCTGGGATTTGAACCTGGGTCTTCTGCAAGAACAGCCAGTGTTCTTAACCACTGAGCCATCTCTCCAGCCCCATATATGTAATTTTAAAAGAGATGCCAATCTGAAAAGATTCCAACTTTATGACAGTCTAGAAAAGGCAAAACTATGAATATAGGTTTAAAAAATATCAGAGGTTACCAGGAACGACCAGACAAGATTGTGTAGATACAGCAGAGAGGACTTTAGGACAGTGAAAATGTTCTGTATGATATTCAAATGGTGAATACATGTTTTTTAAAATTATGTATGCCCAAAGTCTTAAGAATGTATTCCACCAAGAGTGAATTCTAATGTAAACTATGGATTCTGGGCGATAAAAATGTACCAGTGTACATTTGTCAACTGTAACAAATGTTAAAACAAACCAAAGGGACAGGAGACAAACATGACAGTCAAAAACAAAACAAAACAAAACAAAAGGTGGCTTCATACCAGGAAGTCCCACACTAAAGAGAGAGCCAGAAGGATTGCACAATTAATGCCAGCCTGGTCTACATACTGAGCTGTAAACTACCCAGGGATAGATGGCAAGACCCTGTCCCAAAAAGCCAAAAGCAAGTGAAGGGGGGGATCCCCACAAACAATAAGGACCACAAATACACTACTCAGATGAGGGACCTTCAACACTGGCCTATATGTGCAAATGTAGGGTGGAAAGTCCATGAGAATTATGTATACTTACCACTAAGTTGGAACTTCAAAGTGTCCCCAAAAAGGATATTTGTGCATGTAGTGTGGGAGTGAGTGTCTGTACATGCTCACTCACCCCTGAAGGAAGAGACTAGACTGAAGGTCTTCCTTGATTGCTCTCTACCTTTTTTTCTTCCTTTTCAGTGCATGTATAGTGCATATAGTACATATAAGTGTGCATGGGTGTGCCTGAATATGCAAAGTTGATGTTGACTGTTCTCCACTTTATTGAGGCAGGGCCTTTTGTTGAACCCTTAGCTTTCCAATTTTGGCTAAGATTGTTAGTCAGCTTGCCACAAAGATCTCTTGTCTTTGCTTCCAAATGCTCAGATTACAGGAGGCTGCCTGCCATGCCTGCTCAACTTTTACATGGGATCTGGGGATTTGACCTGTGGTCTTCATGGTTACAAACCAAAACCTTTATCCACTGAGCCAGCATCCCAACATCTCTGTTTTATTTTTTGAGAAATGGTCTCTCACTGAACTTGAATTCTCTGCTTTGGCTAAACTGGCTGCTCAGCAAGCTCCTATGAATTGCCTATCCCTTTATCTTCCCTCATTGGGGTTACAGATATGTGGGTGCTGGAGATCCAAATTCAGTTCTTTATGCTTGCATGGCAAGCATGTTACCCACCAAGCTATCACTCCAGTCCCTAAAAGAGAAGGACATCTTTGAAAAATCCCTCAGTCAGGCATGGTGGTACACATCTTTGATCCCAGCACTCGGCAGGCAGAGGCAGGCAGATCTCTGTAAGTTCAAGGCCAGCCTAGTCTATATAGTGAGTTCCAGACCAGCTTGGGCTATAGGGAGACCCTGTCTCAAAAAGAAAAAAAGTAAAATAAAAATCCTTCAGTCACACTAGCCATAGAAAAGTTCATGTAAGCCGGGTATGGTGGCACACGTCTTTAATTCCAGGATTCGGGAGGCAGAGGCAAGAGGATCTCTGTGAGTTCCAGGCCAGCCTGGTTTACATAGCAAGTTCCAGGCTAGCTGGGACTGCAAGGAGACTCTGTCTCAATAAGAACCCCACCACCACCAAATAAAAAAGGCCATGTAGCCAGTGGCTATTATGTTGTGTTTGACAGTTTAGACATAAGCATTTCCATCACTGCAGAAAAAGAAAACTACTGTAAACCAGTAATCCAAAGGATAAAGGCAAGAAACTGACTGGTTTGAGGAAAGAGCAATAAAGCACTGTCCTATAGTATTCAGTAGCTTTACCTTTCCTTTTCCACCTGCTCTTTTTCCCCTCTTTGTTGCTGCCACCATCACTGCTGCTGCTGCTGTTCTCAGAACTCTGAGAGTCTGATTGACCATCACTGCTTTCTTCTGAACCTTCTGACAGCTCTTTCACCCCATCTGGCACATCTTTCTGAAATGTAGGCATTCAGTTAGGATTATTTACCAATTTTTCAAACTGAAATCAAATTTCTAATATGCAATATTATAACTTAATTGACTACTGATTAATTTTTTAGTATTATAAGATAAAACCACCAAATACCTTCTAATTCCTGCCATTTCTCTTTTTGGGGGTCAAGTAAGTTAATAATTATATCCAACATTTATATGCAGGCATAATACACAAGGTGAAATTACCCAGAACTTGGCAGATAAAAATCCAGGTTGCTGGGCGTGGTGGTGCACACCTTTAATCCCAGCACTCTGGAGGCAGAGGCAGGTGGATCTCTGTGAGTTCGAAGCCAGCTTGGTCTACATAGTGAGTTCCACGACAGCTGGAGCTACAGGGAGACACTGTCTCAAAAAGACAAAAAAAAAAAAAAAATCCAGGTTAAGTGATAAAATGCTCAGATTCTAAAATAATAATAGTAATAATAATTTTGTTGGAAATCTTTCTCTGCCCATGCATGGTATAATTGTGTGTGTAGTTACCCTATGAATTCTGAATTCAATTACAGAATTACGGTCTGGAGAATAAGAGCAGTGCATTATTTTCATCTAACTGGTTCCTTAATATTGGTTAATAAGCACCAAGCAAAGGAACTGCCCTTTTTTGTCTTTTCTTTCTTTCTTTCTTCTTTTTTTTTTTTTTTTTAAAGAATCACAACAGTCTCTTTAGCTTCAGTTCTTCATAATGAGAATGCTAACCTAAAAGGTTAACTGTTCCCTATGAGTATGTGAAAAACATGACACAGTAGTTGAATATCAACAGGCTAGGGAAGCAAGGCTTTCACAAAGCCTTGGTCTAAGTCTTTATCTCTTATCCCTTAATTTTAGTCTGTAAGGTGGTGATAACAGTACCTACCTTAAAAAGTCATTCAGAAATTAAATGAGCTAATTAATATAAAATGTTTACCACAGTGCCCCAAAGAACTCAATAAATATTAGTTGCTATTTGCACACAAATAAATGATTAGTGAATGTTATTTCTATGTTATGAATTTTCTTCCCACCAGTATTTTATTGTCCCATCTAATTATTATAATAATCACATTAAAAAATAATCGGATACAAAAATGTGACCCTACTGTGTAACTGGCACCCATATGACATTATACCCAAGACCATAAACTCTGATCTAGTAAATGAACAGTTATTTCCACTTAAGGTTCTCTCTAATCCATCTCTTATGTTATACACTTTCTTAAAATACAGACCCCATATTTTTATATTCCTTCCTTCAAAATGCAGGACAGCTTTTATAGAGTTAGTTGCCAGCCAGACATCTTGACCTGTAGGTTCAACAAGTATCTGAAATACAAATATAATTATCTTCTTTTTGCAAAAAACTTGTGATCCCTCTGGGATCAACTGCTCATGTCTCAAATCTCAGAACCTTTTTACCCCCTTTTACTCACGCCATATGCAATGTGTTCTATTTCTCTGTCTCTTTTACAACTCCCTGACTTCCTCCTGCAAACAACTATAACCACCTTTTTCTTGTTTCATAATGAAATTTATCCTTGAAAACCTTCAAACACAGATGTGATTGTTCTTCCTGAAGACCTCTGCATCTATTCAACAGCTCCCACCCTCAAAATAGACATATACACAGAGACACAGATACACACACACAGGTCAATCAGGATAAAAGCTTCATCTCTACCTAATGTTTATCATTTTTCTTAACTCTGATGATTATCATTTAATCCAATTTCCTCTATTTCTAAATCCATTCTGAATTCTATCTACACTTTTATTTGAGCTACTCTCATATTTTGGAAGGCCCTCATATGTTCAAGCCCAGTTTAAATCTTGCAAGTACATAAACTTGCAAGCACATAACACAAACTCTCTAGATCCCTTTATTCAAAATCTTTATTTTGCTTCATTATCAGGGTACAATTTGACAGTGTATCTTATAAATATGAAGTTGTTTCAATAACTGTGTCTTTTACAGAGATTAAGAACAATAGTTTATCCATCATAGCCTCTACTATTTCTGGCATATAGACTTGCTACTGTGATATAATAACTAACATTATTTGAACTATGAGTTCTTGACATAAGAGTTCCAAAACTTTAATAATTTCTTGATCAATAATGGCAACTAGGAGAATCTTTTGTTCTGGTATGTGGTCTTTGACCCCAGTTCCAGACACAGTGTTCCTAAAACCCTTGGAATCTCCCAAGTAATAGGTACATCATTTGTTTTAATGAGATGACTCTTTATGGGCTCCTGTCTGATTAGTGGGATTCGACTAAAAAGTTGTACAAAGTTGGAACAGTCAGCCAACCTCTCAAGAGAAGGAGGGTGTGTGTGTGTGCTAAAAGTTGAGTTGATCACTAACGGCCAATGACATAGCCATGCCCATAAAACAAATTCTCCATAAAAAAAGTCTATAAAGGCTCAGCGGTTTGGATGAGTTTGCACACAGCCAAAATCATGTAGGTGTTTGGAGGTGGGTATGCCAAGAGAGCTCCCATACCCACTGATCACACTTCACTTTATCCATGTCTTATCTACATTCTTTGTAACATCCGTGAGCAATCCTGGCAAGTTAATCAAATAATAGAAGGTCATGGAACTCCAATTACAGCTGGTCTGTCAGAGGTTAGGTCACAACCTAGGTCACAACAGGCAGCTGAAGTGAAGGGTAGTATTTGGTACTGAGCCCCTAGCTAGTATATGAGATGACTCTTTATGGGATTCGACTAAAAAGTTATATGATAAGTTGAAACAGTCACCCTAACCTCTCAAGAAAATGAGGGGATTTAAAATAAAGGATGCCCAGCTGATGCCAGATGGATGTGTATGAGAAGCCCCCCTGATACCTGGCATTAGAAGTACTGTTCTAAGTGGTATATGAACATAGAAAAAACATTTTGGGTTTTTCCTTCCTAAATCTGTAACAGAGTAGACATTTAATGTAATTAAAATCATGGAAGGTCTAGAATGGCTAAGCTCTCAAAGAAAAAATAAATAAAAGTTCCATTTGGTATTAAAATTCTCTATTTAACCTAGAATTTAAATAGAGTAAACCGACAGGAACTATCAGAAGGCAGTAAGATTTTAAAAGACAAACCACCTTGCCGGGCTTGGTGGTTCAGGCCTTTAGTCCCAGCAGAGCCAGGTGGATCTCTGTGAGTTCAAGGCCAGTCTGGTCTACATAATGAGTTCCAGCCAGCTGAGGTTATAGGGAGAGCTGTCTCAAAAAGTCCAAGCAAACAAAAGGCCAAAAACAAAATAGATAGGGGTTTGCTATATAGACCAGACTGGCCTTGAATTCACTATTATAGCTCAGGCTGATCTTGAGCTCATAATGATCCTTTTGCCTCTGCCTCCTCCTAAGTACAAATATTTATAAGTGCAAAACAAACTACCATGCTCAGGTATTAAAATATTGAATTTTTGTTTTCCATTATTTATTATGTGTGTATGTGACTGGGCACAAGCTTCCTATAGCACACAAATGGAAGTTGGAGGACAGATTTGTTGGAGTTGGTTCTCTCTTTCCACTATGTGGATCTTGAGGATCAGAAACAGGTAGTTAGGCTTGGTATCAAATACCTTTACTCTCTGAGCCATCTCAGCAGCCTAGATTAGATGTTTTTTTAATGTTAGTGGGTTCCATATTCCCACTGAGCATTGTGATGACGAGCTCTGAGCTAAAAGGCAACAAGGAATAGAGTCCCCTACAGATATGTCATATTGGGAGTCATGGTCTCCAAACATTCATTCTCCATTTGCTGATAAACTTCCTTTGAGGAACATTCCTTTCCTTAATTCATCAGGCTGGTACCAGCTTAATCTCAATTTTCTGTCAAGAGTGACAATGACCCAAAGACTGAGCAGTGAGAATAATCACTACATTTGGCAACAGCCATCATTAAGGTATGATGTCACATGGGCCGAGTCAAACCAAAAGTCAAATCTGAATGAGGTGGGAGGACTCTTGCTTTAGTTACTATATTCTTGTCTCTCTAGACTTACAGCTTGCAGAGTAGTCTCTGAATGGATTCCTGACTGAGAATAAAGTTAAAGGAAATAACAGAGATCAAGGCCAGATGACGTTTTGATCACATAGATCCAGCCTGGATTCCCTTAGAATATTTAGTGGTATGAGTTAATAAATTGTCTGTCCTACATAAGGTCATTTGGATTGGTCTTCCTTAAATGTGGGAACAAGATATCAGCCAGCCAGGGTAGAACAAACTTGAGAATTCAGTCAGAACAGTATTTATATTTTTGTTCTGATACAATATGGCCAACACTGTCAAGAGATTCAATCTTCTGAACTTAAGTTTTCTCCATTTAAAAAGAAGAATTAATAACCACACCTGAAAGTTATAGTGGGGAAGTCAACAAGTAATATAAACCATCTAGGGCTCTAGGGAAGATATTCAACAAAATATTCAATTATCACTCAAATATTGGAAGGCTCTAAAATAAGTATATGATGCATGCTCAGCACTCAGCACCCAGGAGGCAGAGGCAAGCAGATCTCTACGAGATCAAAGTCAGCCTGGTCTACAGAGCGAGCTCTAGGCCAGCTGGGGCTACATAGTGAGATCCCATCTCCAAAAACCAAAACAGAAAGACCTCCAAAACAAAAACAAAAAATATGGGGGGAATGCCCTATGGTAGAGCAAGTGTTTAGTACTCATGGGGCCCAGAGTTCAATTCCCAGAACACCCCCCAAATTATTTATAAATTTACTTATTTCACAGTTGAAATATTATTTCTTCTTGGAAATGAAGAACACAATTCTCAGGGCTGGAAAATCGCCAGCACCCACATGGCAGTTAACAACTGTTTATAACTTCAGTTTTAGGGAATCTGATGCCCTCTTCTGGCCTCCCTGGGCATTGCACACACAGGTACACTTACATACATGCAGGCATAACACTCATACACATAAAATAATTCTCTATGACTCCAGTATTATTTATATGTTGTCACTATTTTTTTCTTTTTAAATGGCTCCCTGATAAAAATACTTACCTTCAATGTATAAACTCCCATTCTACCTGGAACTTTATAGAAGATGCCCTCTTCACCTCGGGAGTTTGTGTGTAGCATTGCATTTAGGCACGCAAGAGGGGAAGTCCCACTGCAAAGTAAAAAGGAAAAAAAAGGAACATAGGGATTATTTTGTCTTTGAATATTCTTTGTGATTCTGACTTATTCTTTTTTTTTTTTTTGGTCTTTTTGAGACAGGGTCTCCCTGTAGCCCCAGCTGGCCTGGAACTCATTATGTAGACCAGGCTAGCTTTGAACTTACAGAAATTCACCTGCCTCTGCCTCTCCAGTGCTGGGACTGAAGGCATGTGCCAACACATCTGGCTCTGACTTAAATCTTATAATTGGTCAACATGCCTTTGTTTGAACAAGTTTTTATTTATACTATAAAAAGTGTATCAAAGGCCAGGCACTTAGGTAAAAAACAACATATTCATGTATCAAAATAAACAAACATAAAGCAGTATCATACATTTATTGTGTAAATCTACTATTTGTAAATGAAGCTTTATAAATGTACACAAAAGTGGAACACACACACAAAGAGATTCAAACGATATTTATCCAATTGCATACAGTGCACCAAACTAAATCTGATCAGTAAAACTAAACTGACATCATTTCTTGTACTTAAACCTATCAGGAGATCACTTCTTTTATTGATTTATTTATTTTTTTGAGGCAGGGTCTCCCTGTAGTTCCCACTAGCCTGGAACTCACTATACAGACAAGGTTAGCCTAGATCTCAGAGATCCACCTGCCTCTGCTGGGATTAAAGGCATGCGCGTGCGTGTGTATAATTTCTGAATGGTAGCATGATGGCACAGAACTGTAATCCCAGCACTTAGGAGCCTGAAGTAAATTATCACAATTTCATTGCTAGCCTCTGCTATACACCATGAGCCTAAGAGGGAAAAATTCATTGCCAATTGTAATCAGGTCTTATTTTCCTATCTTTTTTGTGTTCCTCTACCTGTTCCCGAAAGCAATAAAAATTAGTAACAGGCATTCCTAGTCATGGTTTGTCTCTGCATTAAGGAAATGGTGCTGATGTTTTCGTGTGAGTCTAATGTTGACTTTTTGCTAATTACTAACATGTTAAGAAATATGAAAGTAACTATAAGCAATGTATTTTTTTTTAAGCATAAAGCTACATGTATTAAACAATATAGCTGGGCATGGTGACTCACATTTGTAATCATAATACTCTAGAGGCTGAGGCTGGAGGATGGCAGCTAGCTTGGGCTACAGAATAAAACCCTGTCTAGAAAAACAAAAAAGGGTTTATTATACTATATCAAAGTGTAGGCTATCAAGAAATGAATGAAATTATGTTTATCTCAGATGATTAACTTGTAGCTTTTATGAAATGGAAAAAGATTAGAGATAGATAATAAAAAGCTTCAAATTGGGGAGTTTCTTAAAAAAATTTTTTTAGACAGGGTCTCCCTGTAAATGGCCTGAAATTCGCTATGTAGACCAAGCAGGTCTTGATCTCACATAGAACCACCTGCCTCTGCCTCCCAAGTGCTGGGATTAAAGGTATGTGCCACCACGCCTGACTGCTTTTTCAGTTTTAGATAGGATAGGATAGGATCTTACTCTGCACCCCATACCAAGGTCTACATGGGTATAAAACTCCCTGTATAGACCAGGCTGGCATCAAACTCAAAACGATACTGCTTTAGGCTTCCAAGTACTGGGATTACAGGCATGAGTCACTATGTCTGGCTTATACAGAATTTTTTTGTGTGTATGAATATACTGTCTGCATGTATGTAAGTGCACCTGTGTCATACAATGCCCCTGGAGGTCAGAAGAGGGTGTCAGATCCCCTGGAACTGGAATTATGGATGGCTGTTAGCTTCCATGTGGGTGCTGAGAACCAAACTTGGATCCTCTGCAAGAGCAGCCAGTGCTCTTAACCACTGAGCCATCTCTCTAGTTTCATAGTGCTGAAATATGTAAAGACAACATATTCATGTATCTAAGGGAAATACATAAAAAGTTCACATAAAAAATATAAATGGGGAGTGGTCTAGAGTCTCTATTGGGAGACTCAAGTATTTTTTGTTGTTGTTTCTTTCTGTTTTTCTTTTTAAAATTTCTTGTAATAACCAAGGAACAAGGCAACTTAAATGCACATTCCCAATTCATCTCCCTCTCAGTTCTCTGCTGGCTATACTCAATAAACCAAAACCAAGTCCACTAAAAAGGCTGCAAATAAGATGGATGGGGCTGGAGAAAAAGACATTAAGACAAGAAGATCACTGGACATCACTGGAGCTCATTGGCCAGCAAGTCTAAATCTATGAGCTCCAGGTTGAAAAAAATGAGGCAGAAAGTAATTGAGGAAGACACTTTATGTCACCCTGACTGCCACACTCACAGGCATACCTACATGAACACATACACATACCACACATGGGGTTGGGGATTTAGCTCAGTGGTAGAGTGCCTGCCTAGCAAGCACAAGGCCCTGGGTTCCGTCCTCAGATCCGGAAAAAAACAAAAAACAAGGCAATTAACACACACACACACACACACACACACACACACACACACACAGAAAAAAAATAAAAATTATACCCATATACAATTAAGTAAGTCCGAAATATCTTGGCTGTCTCTAGATATAAGGGTTTTCTGAGCTCAGGAGAGCACAAATGTATGTCCACTGTTTTCTGTTCAGTGATACTTGGTGTATCAAACACTTAAAAGAAATCTTGCATTCCCTACAACAGAAGGAAAACAAAGAAAACACATTCCAAATGGATTAAAGAATAAAGTATAAAAGTAAAAGGTATTGAAAGAAAATACTGTAACTTGAAGACAGATAAAAACTATTCTACAAAAGGAAAAAAAAAAACCCTCATAACTACAAAAGAACCATGTTGACTTATACAAAAATAAAGGTTTCTATGCAGAATAAAATTACAATCAACAAAATCATAGGGAATACATAGTTAGAATAATTAACTGCAAAACACACAGAAAGCAAAAGACTAAGAGTCCTAAGAAGAGCTTCTTTTAAGAAAATACAAACAATCAACGTTGGAGAGATGGCTCAGCAGTTAAAGAGCACAAAGCCTTGGGGGGGTCTATGCTCAGCACAATAGCAAATATACTAAGCTTGGCGGCATATGTTGTAAGCCCAGCAATTGGAAAGTGAAGGCAGGAGATCAAAAGCTCAAAATCATCCTTGCTACCTGACACCCTGCCTAAACAACAACAAAGCCAGATACAGGTGTACAATCTCTGATCTGAAACATGGCAAACATTTCAGGCACAAAAACTTTAGTTCTGGTTTTCTGAGACAGGGTCTTGCATACAACATACCATAGATTATTCAACATTGCCAAGATTAGGCGTAATATCCCATACTCAAATGTAATGAAAAGTGAACACTCAAATCTGATAGACAATGTCACATACACTTTCATGTCAATTCAAAGACATTTTTGCCGGGCTGGAGAGATGGCTCAGTGGTTAAGAGCATTGGCTGCTCTTGCAGAGGACCCAGGTTCGAATCCCAGCGCCCACATGGTGGCTAACAACTGTCTGTAACTCCAGTTCCTGGGGATCTGTCGCCCTCTTCTAACCTCTGTGGGCACTGCATGACATGGGTGCACTTACACACATGGAGGCAATGCAGTCATACACATAAAATAATAAAATATGAAAAAAGAACAGTAGTGTCAAGTGATTTCTGATGCTAACTGCATGAAGAAACTTCGTTTTTCAAGCATTTAAGAAGATTATAATTACAAATGAGAAATTACAGACCTGTACATACAGTGCTCTAAGGCAAAGAGAAAAACAAAACAATTAATCTAGGGCTTAGTAATTAGAACAAAAATAGGCCACACATCTGGTGAAGATGTGATAAAACTAACTACTGGCCAGGTGTGGTGGCACATATCTTTAATTCCAGCAGAGGCAGGTGGATCTCACTGAGTTTTAGGCCAGTCTGGACTACATACTACATAGTGAGTTCCAGACCAACCAGCTGGGGCTTCAGGGAGACCCGTGTCAATAAGAAAAAAAAAAATCTGTAACTATAGTCACTGTATTTTAAGTATACTTCTCCTTTCAAGGAAATAAAGCTGTGGAAAATTCAAAAGATATATCGTGAACACTATACCATTTAAAAAAAAATTTGTGGGGCTGGGAGAAATGGCTCAGTGGTTAAGAGCACTGACTGCTCTTGCAGAAGACCTGGATTTGATTCCCAGCACCCACATGGCAGCTAACAACTCTCTAAAACTCTAGTCCCAGGGGAACTAGACCTTCTTCTCATTCTCTTCTCACCTCCGTGGGCATTGCACAACATGGGTGCATTTACATGCATGTAAGCAACATACTCAGACACAAAAAATAAAAATTTTTAAAATAAATAAATAAATAAAACAAAATTTGTGGGCTGAAGAGATGGCTCTGCTATCAAGAGCGCCAGCTATTCTTGCAGAAGACTGGGATACAACACACTCTTCTGTCCTCCTCGGGAAAGGCACAACATGGGTGCACTTACATACATGCGGGCATAACACTCATACATACACATAAAAGATAAAAAAAAATTAAATAAAAAAACAAAACAACAAAATTTAGGACTGGTGAGATGGTTCAGCAGGTACAGGTGTTTGTTGCCAAACTTGATGAGTTGAGTCTAAGCCCTAGAACCTACATGTAAAAGGAAAACCCACTCCCATCCTTAACTCCAGTTTCAGGGGAATCTAAAGCCCTCTTCTGATCTCCGAGGCGAGGCATTGCATGACACAGGTATACTCACACACATGCAGGCAATACACTCATACACATAAAAAATACTAAAATTTTTTTTAAGTATTTATATTTGTGCTAATAGGTAGTAATTGCATAACATGTGAAACAGCTTGTAAGGAGAAAATTAGTTTCTCTTACATATTAATATAAAAGGATTTTCAGCATTTTGATATCTTGAGGATTTGATTAGTCAAAGCATACTTCCTGCTGGGGAGCTCTGTTGTGTTTTTTTTGACATAGGGTCTCCCTTTAGCCCCAGCTAACCTAGAACTGGCTATGTTGACCAGGCTGGCCTCGATCTCACAG